TGACTTGTATTGAATACCTATTTTGACAAACATAATGCATAACTGAAATGCTACAGTACAGAGTGTCCATTCACCAAGCATGCTCATTGTGTAATGGGCAAACTTTTCATACAGAACAGGACATTGGCAGTAGAAGAACAGCAATCCACCATTTTATGTTTTATTAGAGAGTTTAAAATCTACTAAGCTACATGATGAGTAAATTCTTAATTACATTTTCCAATTTGCGACTCAAATGAAATATATGAATGAAAATATGTTAACTTTAAAGATAATTAAAAATGCCTGTAAGTAAAGCAATCCATTTAAGAATGCAGTTATGATTTTTAAATGTTTGATATTTCTAATACAGTGTCAATGCAACAGGAACTTAGCATTTTTTATAGAAGGAGCCTCTAAGTTTATTGCTGTAGCTAAGTAATTTAGTTTCATCATCCCCCCCATTATCAGAAATACTTATACTTAATTATTCATGGAAAGTGTTACAACAGACTATACACAAAACATTGGCCTGGACAACATCCTGATACAGAATCCCAGTTCATTGCAAAACACACTAAGACACATATGCAGGAAGAGTTCAGAGTCACCAATCAATCTAGCCAGCATGCCTTCAGAAGTTGGGAGAAAAACAAACTCAGTGAGACCATGCAAACTCCCCAGATATGGAATGACAAGAAACTGTGAGGCAGCAGCTTACTGCCATGCTATATGTTAATACCATTCTTGTTGAAAAGCGTGTTAGATCTTGCTTTGATACGAAACAGTGACAGAACATACTAACAATGAAGACCCCGTTACTTGAAAATAGTTTTTTTAAATGTCAATAGCAATGCTGGTAGGATGACAGCAGCAGCCTCACACATCATGACAGTTCAAGCACATGTGTTGACACAGCTTGTCTAGTTAGTGGAGAGGGTATATTCATTCCTCTACTCTAGATTATACACCATCTGTGAAAAGAAGACAATTTCGTCAGTGACCACTGATCATGAGTGGGAGGGCTACTAAATTCCGCACATGTTCCATTGCTCTAGAAACACTCTGAGCTGTATACTTTGGTCATCACTTTCAATGCATTCTAAGTCCTAAAACAGCTGCTATATCAGATGTTCCCACTCATTGCGAGTTTGATTACTTCTATGTGTAAACATCAGGAGAAAGTCTGCAGCATGGATCTCCTCATTAAACTGTACGGGGAAAATGGGAGAATGAAAAGTGGAAGTGGTGGAAACATCTCGTCATGGACCGGATCAACAACTCAGGTCTTCCTGTTCTACTCAGGAACAGATGCACAAACAGCGGAGTCTGTCTATCTTGGCCTGAACTCATTACCCACCTTCGGACCCACCAACAAGATACCTTGATTATGAGAAATCCCCTTGGGGTCTGAGGCCAACCACACCATACTTCAAAATTCAACTGTAACTCCCTGTTTCCGGTGCACTTTCTCACATGAAAAACAAGTTAGATTGATAACATTTGTTTTTCTGATCCTGTACAGTGGAATACACAATCATTCCTGCCAAGAAACAAAACTGTGTATGTCTGTGACGGTTTCATTACCTCTGCAGAAACCATCCGTGAAATTCAAATTGAGCCCCCAACAAAAGTGCACGTTATGTGAAGAATGGGTTGTAATAAAACACTGCTGCATGTTTTTCAAACGTTTAAAGCCAAAAAGTGAATGCAAAACATACATACAAGTCTGTAGGTTTTTTTTCCTCTTTGAAAAATGTTCAAACTTCTCAAGATTTTATGAGAACATTAAACAAATACAAATGCAATCTCTATTAAATCTTAATGAAACAGACACATTAATTTATTACTGGAACAATAACCATACTGTACAAAAACAATAATACTTGCTGTCTAGAAGGCACTGTCAAGACAAAAATATATGTACTCTTATATCAGATTTAAAATATAGGAACCACATACTATAGAAATAAAAAGATACACAGAACATTCCTGAAATTGAAAGCATCAGCATAACTGAATTTGGAAGACAATTATTAAAAAGTGCCCATCCTTTTAAATTTAAAATATAATAATTTTAACAGGATTGTGACAATTGTGTTAGATGTAAAAAATAAAATATTGATTAAAACATCTAAGTGGTAAAAGCTACATATGGTTAAAACAATGTGTTTTTGTTTAAAAATAGTTAATAATGAAAACACCTTTCTTAAGTGAATGAATCCTGTTTATTGATTTAAACAATATACCATTAATTAGTATTAAACATTAAATAAAAATCTTGATGCACTCTCACTATACTTCTGTCTGTAAATGTTAGAAATCTACTACAAACACATGCCAAATGTGATCACCAAAAAAAATTGTCATCTGTTTGATTATGTATTCTTAGTACAGCTTCAATTTTAATTGAAAGATTTGGTGAGGAAAGGTCTCTAAAAGTCCTTTTCGTAATTGTAAATAGCAAAAATATTTGATCAATTATCTTTGAATACCCATTTGCAATGTCTGAGAATAGTAGTTTAAGGTACATTTTGGAATTCCATCCTTAAGTTTAGGCTTAGGTGAGCTCCTTTGAAACCTTCCCCATTCTTTGATGCAAACAATTTTGAATGCATTCACAATTTGTGAGTTTCCTGGCAGCAATAGCGTGCTTCAGTCCAGGCGTAACATTCCAATTGGATGTGGTCAGGTGATTCTTGCTGCCCATCCAGTGCTTTGAACATTTTCCTCTTTAGGAATTTTGTTTTTGACTTGACTGTATGCTTTGGATTAAAATGTGGAGTTATGTGCTATGAGTATATGTCCCCCAGTTATCATTTCATGCGCTAATATATTTATGCTGTGTTTAATTTTCCTGCAATCACAAAGGTTTCAAGTAAAAAAAGAACTAAAGTAGGCTAACATTATATAGGTATCAACTTCTCAATTGGCATTAAGTGCACCAGTTTACATTCAACATTTTTAAACAAACATTCTGTACATTTATTGCATAACTATTACTTAATAGCGATGACAATTAATGCATTTGTCATTGATAAATAATAAATAATATCACCATTTTAAAATGAAAGCATTTATAAGTATAAAGCTTTAAAGTTTACTTCTCTATGGATTAAAATGGTCTGAGCGACATGAATGATAATGATGATATTTTATGTGAAGAGCTCAACAAATATAAATTGGTTGTTAAAGCTCTGTGAGAGGCCAAATTTAACAATAACTAAGGGCAGTACTTATTTATTTTTTATTATATTGTTTGATTTAAAATATATTAGTAAACCTCAGGATAAAGGAACAAGTACAGTGTTTTTTTTTATATTTCTTCATTACTACATAGTAGAAACTGGAATATCAGGATGCCAATTGTTCCTCCAGTTTTCTCAAAAGAAAAAAAAGAGAAGCCCTGGACTAAGATATTTAATTATTGTCACTACTATAGACTATAGAACCGATATTTGATACTTATAACAAAATAATCATTTAAAGGAATAGATGTGCCTGTTTAAAAAATCACCAACCTATTCTAGTTTGTGGACCAACCTATCGAGTTATGCAACCCCACTGAAGGGTAGTAACGTCTCCATGATCTCTTGATCCTTAGTTGAACCTACTATATTACTATTAAGCACCAGGATCAGGATCAAGTTAGGGAAATACAATAGACTCAAAGGAGGCCCAAAAACATCCAAAATGGCCACTTATCATTTGTAGTTTTAATTGTTTTGTTCCTATGGGCTGCAAAGTATCAGAGGTATCACGTAAGAGCAAGGTAACCTGGATTGCAAGCAAATAACTTCCTTAAAAAAGTAATTATCCATATTCACCCTTAAGAAACGGTTGGTGTGTACAACCTGTAATTGTGTATCCCTGAACAGGACGTAATACCCTTCTACACTACAGTGACATAATGCTACCGTGTTTCTACATGAAAATAGATGTGAAGATATTATTGTAAATTCTGAATTTTCCAGCTTTTTCTCATAATCAACTGCTTATATGATCAGTTCAATTGCTTGCAATTTCTGTCAACCCTAGGTCTCAGTCTCAAAAGGTTTTTCACATTGTACTCCTATGGGCCTTCTTATGTATATCCCTAAAATTAAAACAATATTTCCATAAATTAATTCAAACACTAAAATTTGTACTTATATTTAATTTATAATACCAGAAATCTGGTTATACTCAAGTGTAAATAAGTTAAATGCTTTTGGTATAACTTGCATTTCACAGTCAGATGCACAAGATATTTGTGTAAGCAATTACAATGCCTGGTTTTGTTTGTCCTTGTGCTGTTGTTATTACAAATAACAAAACTTAACAATAACAGCAATGCCCAAACAATGAGAAAAACTAGAAACAAACATGCTACTTAAAAGCATAAAAATGACAAGCTGTAAAAGGGTACTTGAAACACAAACATCACTCCAGAAAACCAATTACTCTGATGTCATTTATCAGAAGAAAGTAAAATATTTGTTACTGTATTAAGCAATAAATACTGAAAAAGATAAGCCTACATATTACACAGTACTGTCTCATATTTATAATTTATTTAGTCTCTTAATATCCTTAAAACACATAGAACAGCTGTACTTTCAATTGAATTTGTAATGTGCTGTTTCTGGCTCAGAGAATAAATCTCTAAGAAATATTCAGTCCTTGTAAAATGAATATGGTTGTAAAGCAAAAGAGAAAAAGAATTGTCCCACATAGACTAAGAAAACTGAACCTGGGTTAAGACAAGTTAAGGATTAACTGAAAGATGTGGAAGGTTTATTTGTGACTTAATTCATCAACTGCTCTTTTAGTTTAACTTTAAAATACACTGCTGCCCTAATAATCACAGAGTTGTTGGTATTTATTTGGTCTTATAATATTTGCTCTGAAAATGAAAACCTATAGCGTCCAAGCTACATCTTTGAAACGGTCATATGAGCTCTTCTTTTTCTTCATAGCACCAATAAAAAAACCCAAAACTTATTCAAGCACACATGAAAACGACAAACGGAAAGACTTACATTTCCGTAATGGTTTCGGGGAGGTTTGTTGGAATCTCAGTCAGACCTTTTCCACGACAGTCCACAATATTGTTGCTGCATGTGCAGGAATCCGGACACTGTAGAACACTGCAGGATGGAGAAGACTGTTGACCTGTGAGGGAGAAGGAGAAACCACATTGAGCCTCCCTGCTACACGTTCAGATAGGGACGCTCCACATGATAATATCCAGTCAACCATTTATTATTGGAAAATTGCTCATTCCTGGAAATGTTCATGGCAACTTGGAACCTATCCTGGAAACAAAGGGTGCAAAGCTAAACTATGCTCTGGAAAGGATATTCACATATAAAAAATAAAACAAAGGTTCACTTGACACAATAGACCACTGAATAATACTTGTACTTTTAAACATACACGAGCCAACGACATTCAAAAACACAGAGACACTACAGCTGGCTACAGAAGAATGCAAAAGAAAATCAAATAAAATAAATAATGGGAATTATACTCAGAAGAATATGCACAGTAGCCACCTCAGTCAAGACAATAATTACAATACAGGGTTCCCCAAGTGAGGAGTTTGGAATGTTTACAAGAGTTGTTTTCTGATCTTTTCTTAGGAGGTGTCCAGTGAAAACCTAAAATTTATTTCAAGAACATGAAAGAAATTTTGAAAGGGGATAAAACTATGCAATCCCTTGTGCCTGTGTGTCCAGGGCTATAACTCCAATCAGCATGGCTCAGTTTGGGCAAGCATAACTGTCTACTGAAAGAAAATTACGTAGGTCCTTATCAGATGCTTATTTGCAGTGAGATGTCTTCACTTTTGACTATTTCAAAGTGGGCTTTTTTCAAGCCTCTCTCATCTGGAACATGACACCTTACTAAACAAATCTGCTTATTAGATGAAGTGCCCATGTTTTATAATTAAAAAGTACATATTGTATATTACACTCTGTATCCTATGCTGTAAAAACATACATCTGAAACATGTACATCTTAAAGGCCTTTAACTTTTATTATATTAACCTTTGTTGTTGCCATTTTTAATTTAAAAAAAAACATATTTTTGAACCTAGAATCCACAGTTATAAATGCATGAGATACTGTACATTATTAAATGTGTGTTTACCCGATTGCTCAAAATTGGGTTTTATATGCTCCAAATTACGGGTTATATACAGTACTTATTAAAATATATGTATTGTACCAGGTAATTTGTAATGATGGTTTTCTGTATTTTTTTATTTTACAAATGCCAATGCTACAACTGAAAAAGCAAAGCAAATAAATTAATTACACCTGAAGAAGGCTCCACAGCCGAAACATTGTGTTTCCTTTATTTTCTTTTCAGCATGGAATAAACCTGATACCTGTTCCTTTTGCAGCCTACGCATTCTGACACAGTGCCCTACTTGAAATAAATTAATTGATGTTTGTTTTATCCAAAAAAAAGTAGATTAGGTGTATAGACTGCAGATCAAATGTAAAGGAGTTCAGAGAAACTTAAAATGTATCTGCGTACGACATTACCTCTTGCCATTTTAAGCACATGCAAATATTATGCATGTTTTGACACATCTTTGATATAATAGAAAAACACTTTTTATAGCGAATGTAAACAACAATGAAGCCTTCAGCTTAATTCCAGTCATGAAATAAATGTGTCAACTTGCCTTCCTCGTCATCTTGAAAGCATGGATGAGAAAATACAAACAATATTAAACCATTAATGCATATTTCCGAGTCAAGAAATGTTGCCAAGCCTTTTTGCTGCATGTAAAAACAGCACTTTTGTACATTGAGGTAACACCAAGAAATGTGAAGCACTTCGTAAATCTTGTTTGGCATCCAAATAAACTGACAAACCTTTTGTCCAGATGCCAAAGTTCACTAAGAATATTAACATAAAAAATATTTTGCAGAGCCGTGAAGAAAAGATCTTCTTCTTATTTTAAAATCTTTCAGAAACTGAAGCCTATGAAGGCCATTTCAAAATACTTTATAATAATATTTCCTGTTCTCCAGAATAAGAAATGCAACCAAACTCATCAACACACACACAGAGCAGCTACTGCTCAAGCAGCTATTAAATAGCAACATGTGTGAATTCCAAAGCTAAAGACTGCTCCTGAGATCAGGAAAATTAAATTCTTACCAGAGCATACAAATTCTTTCTTTTGCACCTCAGCAACATTGTGACCCCTCAGGTGGCTGGGTCCCATGCATTGTGTGTAGAGCCCAACTCGCGGCCTCTGACGTAGCCAATCAGAAAGCCAGGCCACATTACAGTCACAGTAGAGGTGGTTAGAATGAAGGCGACTAAGTGGGGACAAAACAAATCAATATTGGCAAATTACAAATGTGCAGAGCTGATGCAGTTTCACCTACAGGATACGGGAGTGAGGAGCCACTAATTAGGAATCAATCTTTTAATCTTTTCTACAAATTTCACTGTGCTTGTCATGCCCATGTACATTTTAGTTAACAGCAGCTTGACAGCAGCCTTTTAGTTAAAGAGTAATTAATAAAAGTTGAGGTTGTTGTCAGAAAATCGATTGCTCTAGCATGATATTGCAAACTCAGCAGAATGGGCACAGGGCCACAGATAAATAAATACAATTCAATAAACAAGAAAAAATGGTATATTGGTTATCAACAGAAAGACAACACAACAGTCTTTAAAGAGGTACAGTCTTTATATACTGTACCTCTAAATCTAGTTTTTTTTTTAATACTTAAAAATCTATTTAATGGATGCATTTTCATTTTCTGATGAACAATGCTGAATAACGGTTCAATATAAAATAGATATCTTTTGTGACTTCCCCTTTTTTTTATTCAAACTCAGAAAATAGATTGGGTCCTTCAACCCTCGTGCTCTACAGTCAGTACTATTTCCTGAAATTAAAAACGGTCCAAACAGCAGGACTTTGGAAAGGTGTCTTTGTATTATCTGGGACCTTCACAAGATCATGGCTCCTTTCCAAGCAGTAAAAAGCTCTTTGCTATTAATAAAATATTGGACCCTTGTATTCACTAAATTAGTTAAATTACTTTAGATCGGCTTTTATGTTTTTCCACAAAGTAAAAGAAAGGACATGCAATACTATAAATCAAACTCTTACTCTCAGCATTCTCTTTGACACAGTAATGTCATTTCAGAACCTTTCAGCTGCTGCACTCAATCCTAACCAAATAACCATAATGGATATTAAATCACAGGACCTAGTCCAGAATGCTAATTATACATTAGGAGGATCATCTAAGCCTCAGAGAAGGTTAATCAGCAGTTGAATTTTACATACATCTACATGTAAAATTCTTAGTCTGGCAAACAGAACTTTGGAAGCAGCTTACTTTGATTTTCATTCTGAACACGTGTTTTTATTCACTATTTTTTACAACCAGAATACTAAAAGGAACTTACAAAGTCCTGAGCTTGGGCATATGGTTGAAGCTTGCAACAGAGAGGCGAGTGATGTTGTTGTTATTAAGTGTGCTGTGAAATGGCAAAAATAAAAATGTTGTTACATACCAAACCTCATCAGGAAAAAGAGCTATACATAAGCATTCATTACAGACCTTGTAGGAAATACAGGATGCAAAATTCATATTGACAGCTAAAATATTACATATGTAACCTTTGCATGAAATATATCAGAAACCTTTACTTTTTTAAATTGAAATCTTATTTTTAAATCAAAATGATTTTCCATAAATTATGTATATGACGTGAAAACACTGCTTTTATTGAATGAATTTTTTTTCATGAATAGTGATTTACTTTAAATAAGACACAACACACTGGTAAGTGCATGCACATTCAACAATATAAGGCAAATACAAAATACTTATTTATGTGTTTCTTTCAAGCCTTAGTAATTACTCACACTCATAAGATATATGACTAGATATAAGTTATTTGAAAACAAACTTTCTCTTTCAATTAAATATTTGCTTAACATTTTTTCTGATTCTAAATAAAATAGAAAAATATGCTATTCGAATATACTGGTTGAGCTGGTTTAGAATGGCACAATTACTATATTTTCAGTAAGTACTGCAGTGCTGCAGAGAAAGGTTTTATGAGCTGAAAAAGCTCTAAAGGGTAATTAGCTCTTTCTTATAAATCACGCTATTGCAGTTCTCTTTTATTAAAAATGGTAACTAACATGTGCTAAGTTTGTAGACTTTTTTCCCTTTTCTGATTTCAAATTCAAATTTTCAAATTCTGTCCTTAACAGGGATTTATTGCTAATGGAATGCTATGTAGAGAAGAATGACTATGCCAGATGAAGATTAAAAAAACAAATTTATTTTCTTATAAAACAGGAACATTTAGTTCTGTGTTTTCCTAGTATATTTTGAATAAGAGGAAATGTATATTATAATACATAGTAAGGAGGTATATTAATAAAGTCATTTATTTACATTTACAGACACAAAAGAGAAATTTCCTTATTTTAAAGCTCTATCAATCTGCTTTACAGCTACTGTACAGTATATATACAGGTATTTATTTACAGTCTCACCTAGAACTAAAAATTGCATTTAATAAGATCCTTGTAGGTTGTTGGTGAAAATGTATTTATTTAAGCATTAGTAAATGGTGTAATTAGGACACAAACAATTATTTCATACATTTATTTTGCTAAAGAATATGATCCACTGAATGGCAAGGCCATACTACAAATGAAATGTGAAGAATATTTCTGAAGGTTTATGAATTTTGGGTCTCACGATCACACTGATCACAAAGGGCATATTTTATCTAACTTCATTCAAAAGTCTCACTTTAACTTCCTTTTTTTTTACAATTTGTGGAAATTATCCTGTAGTTATGAACACATTTCACCATCACTGCATAATGTTATCAATTGAAATTCATCAGACACACTAAGCTGGAATAAAAATAAAATAATTTAGTGAGTCCACTACATGGTATCAGGACCTGGACCTTTCTTCATCTTATGGAAATCTGAGCCTCACTTCATATTTATCCCTTATAGAATAATGAAAAGGAAAGGACATGTGAAAACATTACTTTCCTTCCCTTTTCCAATCATACAGACAGAACAGCCCAGTGTTACCAGAATAAATGTTCTGAGCATCAGATAGTGTCTTTCTGTAAAGACAGAGAAAAGGAGCAGTACTCACAGCACTTCCAGGTCGCGCAGAGCCCTGAACGCCCCATCCTCGATACAGCTGATCTGGTTGTAATCCAGTTGCCTGTTAAACAGATTAGGAGGATAAACGAAAAGGAGATGAACATTAGCAGTGATATGTGCTGCAAAGCTTCCTGGAGGCTTTACAGTGGCAGCCACACTGACTGAGCCCCGATCACAGACCACACTCAAGCTGGCTCTCACTGTCACAGACGATTCTGGCCTTAATGCTGCCTCTGAAATCTCTTTTTCCTCAACTGTCTGCGCAAAACAGCAGCAGCTCAGGAAAAGCACCAGTAAATAATAACTGCACCTTATATTAAATGCCAAAGGAACGCAATTTCATTACATCAAGAAAAGCTATCCATTAAAAGCTCTCAGCGTCATCTTGCTGAAACAATTTCATTAAGGTAAAGGACTGTAAATCACTTAATGTCACACGCATCCCCTTGGTGACCTAGCAGAATCCATTTATCAGAGGCACCCAGCTGCATGTTAATTCTGCTATCCTCTGCAAGAAGAAGCAAGCCATTCAGATTTGTCTTTAAATCTTTGAGCTCAATAGACGTTTACAGTAATTATTCTATACCAAATTCTATAGCAAACCAGTACTGCGGAAATAGCTGTATCACTGTAACTCTGCTGAGACAAAGGAACGCAAAACACACCTTCAGGAAAATAAAAAGATATATATAAATGGTAGGTTTTATTGGGACTGTTTCAAGAAATACTCTAATAATGTAGTTTTCTGTGACATTGCACTTAATATTCAAACGTGTTAAAAATGTCAGGATGGCATTACCATAAAGAACAGCAATAACATTGTTTTTTTTAATCTGGAAGAGTGATACTGTATACAGTATACAGTATAAATTAAATTATTGCATGTAGAAACAACTTATCTATATTGTAAATTCATAAATAGATTAATAAAATATTTTCACATTTTTAAGATGCTATAACTACATTATTAATAGTATTAATGCTCCAGATACTGTTTCTTTTAATATAAGACATGAGTGCTTGTAGCAATTCACTCTTGAAAGCTTTATTATCTCTTTACATCTTATTGTGTCATTACCTAAAGTATTCACTGTTGCAGTGAATACAAGTGTTCACATTGCAGTGTCCAGAGGATTTTGTTTTTACTTTGACATTATAGAGTGTTCTGTGTCAATCAATGGCAAAAACGCAACACCATAAAATTTTAAAAGGTCCAAGGGGGACAAAATGAATTAAGCACCTCATCCCTTATTTGAAAGATTCTATCAAATAAGGGATAATTCTACAAATGAGACAATTTCTATTTTAGAGCTACAAAACATTTTCCTGTATCACTTCATTCTACTCTAAATGGTTAAAATAATTCTATCAAATAAGGGATAATTCTACAAATGAGACAATTTTTATTTTAGAGCTACAAAACATTTTCCTGTATCACTTCATTCTACTCTAAATGGTTAAAATAATTTGAAAAAACTAATAGCAGCTTACATTGTAAAATGATTAAAATGGGACACGTACCAATAAAAACTAAGCAAACTGGTAAATTGTTATTTTTTCTCTCTTAAATCACATATCGAACAAGTTTGTTTCTTTGTACCTGGCATTCCCAACCAATTTCCATGTTTAAATTACATTTAAACATATTTGAAATATGTGGGTTAAGTGGGTTTACATTTTAATTAGCTGGATTAAAACCATCAGCTCTCACAACAGACATGACTACATACCAACTAATGTAAAATATATACATATTTTTAAAGTTAAAAGACTTTGATCTGTGGTTCAGTTGAAAATGAACTTTACTGACATATATTTATATTTGAAGATGATGATTTATGGATTCGATTGCATCACATTTCTGGGAGGTTTGTAAAAGTAAAAACTAGTCTCCTCAATAGGACATTCATACTGTAGATGACTGTAGATGTTAGAGGCAATGCTGCAGCAATAAACAACACCCTTAAAACCCCAAAGAGCTATGCACAAGATTAACTTCGCAAATAATTTAGTTAATGGGCTCTTTATTTTTTCTGCCATAAAATATATCTACTGTGTTTTTTTCATGAACTCGCCCATCAATTTATCAAAGCGCTAAAAGAACAACAGTGGCATAAACTGCTCCCCAGACACAACCCAAAAGAAAAATTGTTTCTTGACAAATTGAAAAAAATCTTTTAATATTATCTAATTTGCTTAATGTGGTCTGCAGGTTAATTAGGATAAGCACTAATATATACGTTTTTGTCCATATCTCATTATCCTTTGCTGTCAATATATAAATCACTGAACTAATCTGCAAAATCATCACCTGCCCCTTCTTTAAAGGAGTCTATGTCTCTTGAGAATATTTAGAGGAGCTGTCCATGGTGATATTAAGCATCCTACTATTTCTGGAATTTCTCCTTTCATTTGCTGTAGTAAGATCCTGGCATAATCTCAGGTGCCCTGTGAACTGAAAATGTTTAAGAGGATTACATGACTCCTGTATTCTTTTTCAAGTCAGCCTTTATGTTACATGCCTAAAGCTTTATGGATAGTCCACTGCAGACGTACTGTAGTGTTTGATTTACAATAGTCTGTTGAGATACTTTCCTTTCTGAAAATTGGCTTATCTAAACTAGATACAAATTATCCTACTTAAAATGAAGTGTATAGTACAAAACCATAATATATCCTATTTTTCTAATTCAGATGATTAGGAGAATTAGTACTGCTTTACTATTATTAATAGTGACTGAAACTCAGTGAAGAGTAATGACAAACAGACTGAAATGTTTTGAAACAGAAATAGCAGTACATATTTTTCTTTCGGGTTTTTAGGGGCACGTAGCCCTAAAACAAGCTATTTTCATGAACTCACCGCAGAAAATTATTCCATCCTGTCGTGGAATAAAAGTTATACTTAGTGTGTTATTTCACTTTATTTTAAGCTCCATCAGTTTTAAACTATTTTGTCGTGCAGCATGAGGATGAGCTGCCTAAAAAGATAAATGTCAAGACAAAACATGCAACAAGGAATTGTAATCTATCTTGATATATGACTGTATGCAGACATTCTTTTACAGGCCTACTTCTTTTGGGCAGCATGGCATAGTGGTTACCAGTGTCTTAAGTTCAACTCCTGGGGTGCTATCTGTGTGGGGTTTGTATGTTCTCCCCATGTTCGCATGGGTTTCCTCCAGGTGCTCCAGTTTCCTCCCACAGTCCAAAGACATACTGGTAACTTAATTGGCTTCTGGGAAAACCGGCCCTGCTGTGAGTGTGTGAGTTTGTGTCTTTTGTGTCTCCCTTGCGGTGGCTAACATCCCACCCAGGGTTTAATCTTCCTTGCCCCTGTTGCTTATGATGTTAGGCTCTGTCTACCTCAGCGACCCTGTACTGAATTTCTTCTGCCTCACAGAAAAGAAGATGTTGAAGAATCACACCCTCTTCCCTTTGTTTTATAGTAGAGAGTAGTTTATTGCCATATGTACAGTATACAAACTTTGGAATTCAAAATCGCGCTGATCTCTCGGGGCATACGCAGTACAACAGACAACACCACATAATGGAGACAGTACATTACAAACATTATAAATAATAACAACAAGAACAATAAATATCTTGTGGGACAATAAATATCTATACGTGAGAAAAAAAACAAGGTAGACCATGCAAAACGTGCGTAGTGCAGATGTGTATTGAGTCTGAGGCATTGCAGTAAGCTGTTGAGGATGTGTACTGCACTGGGATAGAAGCTGTTTTTGAGTCTGGTGGTCCGTGCTTTAATTGTGCAATTTTTATATGATCAACCTGTATTGCGCACTGTATGTCTGTATAGACTTTGTATTGAAGTTGAATCCAAACGCCTAAATAGTGGAAGCCTTTATTAACCACATTATATGTGGTTTAATGTTGTATAGTATAAAATCTGGGAACCTCAAAATGTTTTTCTATTATTCCTACAATATGACTTATGGATATATTGACAGGCATTTTTTTGTTATTTTTACAGCATAAGCAATTCAAGAAAGAATCGACCAAAACAAGGAAAACTAACAATTACAAGAATTGGTATTAAAGGGCTACTCATAATATAAAGTATAATCATTCATAATCTAAAATGTTGACCTCAGGGCTTGATCAGGGGTAGTGCAATGGTTAGGAATCAGGACCTACAACTGGAAAGCTTTAGGTACAAATCCCATGTGAGGTAGTACTGGTAAGGCAATAATACCCTTGAGCAAGGTAATTCACTCAGATTGCTTCAGTAACAAAGATGTCCAGCAGTACAAATGTAACATAAGATATAAGATAATGTTGTCAGCCCAATAAATTATTAAATCTCAAAATAACCTGATACATAGAATTCAACTATTGAGAAAACATAATAATACAAAAACTCAAAAGCATAACAAAAATACTGTTTATGTATTGTACAGATCATGGTTAAAATGTGTTTACTAAATTGCTCAAAAATAACAAAGCAACTTTCTTTATCTTATGAGACAATTTTTGTTATAATACACAGCAATATATTGGTTTGTTTACTTTTAGGTGAGAGCATTAGATAAAGCTGAATGTATTTTATATTGTAGCAAAACACTTCATTTTAAACAGCCATAACCCTGGGGTTATTCATAAAAATAGATGGTGTGTCCAGGCCATTCCATTTAGAACACATGGATGGCCATTTCACCTCATTCATAAAACCACAGCCAGGCATGTTAAAAATAAGTTAAAAGTGATAGAAAATGACTACCAAGTGTCAAGCAACCAACAGAAGAAATTAAGCAGATGTAAGTCTTCAAAACTGAGGACTGAGCAAACAACAAAATGTGCTGAGGAAACAACTTTTGGATCTTAAATTAATATCACAGAAAAGCAAAGAAGGAATAAAACTCCACTAAATAACTTATTATGCTAAGAGTGGAGCTTCTAAAAAATACAAAGCAAATATTTGAAGCATCTGCAAAACAGAGAAATCACATTTGGCACTATTAATGCAGAGATGATCATGACTGGTCATTTTCATGTGTCTCAAAATATGAGTGAAATCATCACTGATATCAAATCTCCATAATTGTACTTTACACTCTGACATGTCCTATAGGACCCTATGGATACCTATGGATACTTTATGGATCCTGTACATATGATACAGAATATGGTATACAGGTAAAAAAGGAGGTAATACATATATTGCAGCTCAACCGCGGCCCCTTTAAGGAGGCGTTCTTCCCAGTTAAACACCTAACCACTCACCTTCCTGGTTTACCACCACACCTCTAATCATTGTGCATTTAAGCACAGCAGTTTTGATTATCAGTGCTCAGTATTTGGGTTCCTACCCAGGGTTGAGCTCAGGCATCCCTTCAGTTTGTGGATTTCTAGTTTAAGTACTTTGGCTTTCGGACTCGGTTTTCTACCGCGTTATTATTCGGATTTAATCTTCGGCAATTCTCTATTTCTTTGCATACGCTCTGCATAGGATTCAACTACAACTTCACCCCTGAATCCTAACATATGTACTCTATTTAATCTATACATTAAAGTTTAAAATACATAAAAGACATACAATTTTATATAGATCCACGGTGCATTGAAGAGGTATTCAGACCCTTTAAAAGTTTCAAATGTTGTTGTATTAAAAATTATACTTTCCTTTTTCTAATCAGTAATTTTATTGCAAACTCACGTTCTCAAACAGATTTTTTTTAAAAGACTAAATTAGTTATTTGTTAGCAGATATCTTAAAGAAAATAAAAAAACTGAAATATGCTGCTTGCGTACAGTAAGAATTCAGACCACACACATTAATATTTGGTGGAGCCACGTTTTGCTGCAATTACAGCATTAAGTCTTTTGGACACTGGTTAGGAGTGAAGTTTCCTCTTGGCAGATTATTAACGGGTTTGAAATCAGGACTTTGAATGGGCCAATCAAGGACTTTTACCTTTTTATTTCTGGGCCACCCCAGTGTTGCTTTGGCCCTGTGCTTGGGATCTCTGTGTCCTGCTGAAAGGTGAATATTCTCCCAAGCTTCAGTTCCTGAAATGAGTTCCCATGCAGTATTTGACTCTACTTTGCTCCATCTATTTCTCCTTCAGTTCTAAAATGCTTCCCAGCCCCTGCTGATGAGAAGTATCCCAAAGCATGATGCTGCCTCTACCATACTTCACTGCAGGCATAGTGTTTCTTGGGCCATGGGCAGCCATTGGTTTGCGCCACAACTAGCGCTTTGAATTTTGGCAAAAAAGCTTTATCCCGGTCTCATTCTTCTTCTTCTTCTTCTTCTTCTTTTTCACAGCCTTAGTCCCAGACTGTCCTGGGGTCAGCTGCTTTGGTTGCTCTTCTCCATTTGTCTCTGTCGAGCACATCTTCCTCACTCACTTCACATACCT